GCGAGCCCGCGCCCACTCCCGCTAAGACGTCAGCCACTCCACTGCGAGCGATAGCCTCGCCTTCATGGCCTTGTCGGCCAAGGTAATCGCGAAGCGTTGCCCCTGGAGTCTGGCCCAAGCGTCGGCGTCCACAATGGCGCCTAGCCGGCCGCCGGCGCTCGCCAGGTAACATGGCGGGTCGGTCGGTGGACTCGGGTGTCTGCGCCTGACGAAGTAGGCAACCGCAGGCAGGTCTGTCGGCACGGCGGACTGTGCAAGTCCAGGCGGGCGTCGCACGGTTCTGCCACATCGGCGTCGAACACACAACTGGAAGACTGCATAAGATCCTGCCGTGGTCGGAAGAATCAAAAGTCTGGGCGGCGCCCCGCCGCGGTGGTCTCCTCTGGCCTCTGGCTGGCATCGGCAGGGCAGGGGCCGCGGGCCCTGGGCCCAAAATGCCCTGGTCTGTCGCGCAAGCTGGCAAGGCTATTGCCGGGCCCGTTGAACATGTTCTGCGCAAACGAAGCGGAACTCGGCGATGACGTCAGCCGGGCCGCGGCGCGCTGGGCAGAGCACCAGGTGGGCGTCGGTCTTCTGCAAAGGCTGTAGGCGGCATGCCTGGCGCAGGATGCGGCGGCACTGCAGGCGCAACACTCGGTCACCATGCGCGAAAGCCTCGACGAAGATGGGACGCCCCCAGTCATCGCCAGCGAAGACCGTGGCGCGGGGCGCGGCCGGCGCGGCAGCCAGCACCGTATGGGTTTCTGTCCAGCTCTGTGCGGCTCGTCGTCTCTGCTCGTCATGTTGTCGTAGGAGATCAAGTGCTAACTTGGCGCGGTGGAGCTGTTCGAGGCGTCGTCCCGGTGCGCGGTCGAGCGTGGGGCCTATGCTCCGCGCTCTGATCGCGCGCCGCCAGAGGCCCAGGTGTCGGGGCCGGTTAACAACATGGACGCGCCCCCAGATGGCTGGCTCACATCAAGGGGGGCGCGCTGGTAGAAGGGGGCCAGATCGTTCGGAGATTCCGGCGCCGGTGATGACACGGCTGCCAGCGCGGATCTCGATCCATATGGCGCGCTCATGCCGAGCGCTGAAACTGATGGCGTCTAGGTCCAGCTCGGCATCTGCACATCGGCAAGTGGGGTAGCTGGCTCAACGGCTCGGGCACGTCGCTAACCCACTCGCGCCCTAGCGCCAGCCACTCTGGCCCAACGCTGTGGAGTCGGTGACTGTGGCGCTGCGGACGCTGCAGGAGCTGCGGGCACCGCTGCTGCTGCGCCCCCGCGCCTGCCGCGCGGGCTGGCAACGTAGTCGCCCTAGCCCTATCCGTCGGTGGACAGGTTCCTCTCGCGCGCGGCGACGAGGTCGTCCATCTCCGAGCATAGCCGCCAAAATTCGGCCTCATGAGAGTTGGGCGAAGACGATTAAGACAACGAGTCGCCCGCCCAACTTGACCCATGGCTCTGGCCAGCCGCCTACCAAAAGCCGCCGGGCCCAGGACTGGGGGCCGCTGCTGCTGGCGATAGCCGCGCAGATGCCGAGGCTGGAGTCGGCTGGCCGCCACTCCAAAGATCGGCGCTCTGCGCGAAGCAGCCGTTGTCGGGCCCCAGATCCACAAGTTCGGGCACCCAGTAGGTTTCCCTGGTCACCCATGCCGAATGGGTGGCTGGCACGGCACATTGAGCGGCTGGCCCAGGCGCGTCGCGGCGCTCGCGGATCGCATGAGGCGAGAACTCATGCCTAGGCGGCGGCGGCGCTGCCGAAGCTGGGGCACCGAGGAAGAGGGCGCGCCCTTGCCGGCGCCGACGGGGGCAGTCGCGCACGAAGCGCTCTTCTGAATCGCACTCGCGGCACTTGAGACGCGCCCCGCCTGGCTCCATTGCGCCTGCCCTTCCCGAAGCCATCGCAAGATTCGCGGCGGTCTTTGTCGGGCAAGTCAGCCAGAAGGGCGCGGTGGCCTTTTCGGAGGCCCCTACCCTCGCGCTCGATGACCCCCCGCGCGCGGCGGGTGGCTCGCGCGCCCGGGCGATGCGCGCGCCGCGCTGCCCAGAGGACCTTCGCGCAGTTCGGGGAGGTCGGTCACGATGTCTTCGCCGAATGAGCTGGTCGCGTCGAGGTCGGCCCCCGAATCGAAACCTGTCGCTGGATATGCCACCCGAGGCGCTGCCGCCGCTGCTGCCGCGTCGGCGCGGGCAGCCTGCGGCGCTGGAGGTGGACTCGGCGCTGCTCGGCGCTGCTCCGAGGGCTGACGAGCCCGTGCCATCCCGGCTATATCCGAGCCTGGCGCCGCAGGCGCTCTGATCCTGATCGCGCGCGCGCCTGCGAAAAATGCCCGGCGCTGGGCGAGTGCGCGGCCGAGGCGGGATTGCCCGGCGAACCCTCGATCATGCGTCCAAATCAGAGCACCCGGCCCATCGCGAGCGCCGATTGTGGCGCGTCCGTCGGGCAGGCCATGCCACGGCGCTGCAGGGCCAGGACGCGCTGGATGTTCGACGCGCCCACCGCGCGCAACAAGAGGTGGCTGAGGCCCCTGTAGCCGATCATGAGTTAACCAGTCTTCTGTGCTCTGTTGCGGGGAATGTCGAACCTGGCCAGAAGATCGTCGATGCGCTTCTGCGGCAGTAGTTGGAGTTCATCGGAGCCGATGCCGTCTGCGCGCGTCCCCCTCTCTAAGCTGGCCACGCGGTTCGGCCGAGCCGTGCGTGAGGTGGCTCATGAGCGGCGCTGGGTTGCCGTTGATACGACCACCTTGGATGAGGACAGCCTGCGGCCACTCGAGATCTCAGGTGGCCAGTGACCAAATCATCGCCGCCCCAAGCATTGGAAAGGCGCGCAAGCCTGCTGCCCGGCCTTCTGGCGCGGAGGTGTCGCGCGTTGCTGCCGCCGCCACCGCCCGCGTCCATGCGGGCGACACAGTTGATAGCAGCGAACATGCTCACCCCGATGGCCTTCCATCCAAAGTGGAGCCCCCTCCAAGCATCGAGGAGCCGTGACAGTCCTGGTGCCCACCAACGGCGGCGTTCTGGTAGTGATCCTCGAAGCCGTTGTGGGTACTTGCCTCTGGTAAAATCCTCCTCATCAGCGCATTGGGTTCTCTTTTGTCGCGTGATGTGCGTGCGGACTGCGCTCATTTCACCCCGTCACATAGTGGCGAAAGACTTCGTCGCGCGTCGCGCATTGTCATTGCACTCGGCACTGTCAAGTGTACGATACTCGAAGAGAGCACGCAATAGGATTAAGGTGTGCCACGAACTAAATAATGTTCATGTAGCATCAAGCGTATTGTTCCGAATAACAAATAAGGAATAATCCCAAAACTTGCGTAGCGGCCCCCCGGAAGGATAGCAACTTAATCGCCCGACCTTCCAGCGCATTCCGGTTCTTGCCTGCACGCAATTCCCGTGGGCTCCACAATATAGTTGCGGACAACTCGGGACGCTTTGCCGACACCGACGATGTGGGTGTCGGATCGAAGGGCTGCTTGACATTTCCGGCTGCACCCACCTGCGGATGCAATGAGGACGATGCGCCCTTTGCCTCTTCCCCCTCGGGCCTCCGCAACGCAATTTCGAACAACGCGGGGCCTTGTGCCGACACAGTGAACGTGAAAATCGGATCGCTCGACGATTTGAAGTGAACAGCGGTACTCACAAGCGACTGTTCGACAAGTGCCCGAAAAGGGGGGCTGGTTGGCGGGGGGCGTTGGCATGTTTTCAGAGTTGCACTGGTACTGGAAGTAATGGTCGTGCTGGGTTACCTCGGCTGCTCCTGGCGGCTGGGTCGGCGGAGCCCCGCCAGCCCATCGAGGCACGGCGCGGAGACAAGGTGGATGCCCGACACGCGTGTTGAGCAGGTGCGCGTAATGCGCGTTGATGTAGAGCGGGATGTTGAGCTGAGCCGACTGCGCGAGAGAGTGCCACGCGGGCCATGGCGGCTGTGGAACGATGATCAGAAGGCTCGTCTTCAATGAAGTGCAGCAGCGGTCCGTATACTGTAGAGCGGGCGCGAACAAGGATCTTTGCAAACGGCAGCGGGTCCAATGCTGGACCTGCTGGCATGCCCAAGGCAGCGGCGACTTACCGTTCGCGCGAGGATCGCGCAGGGAGGAGGGAGGGAGGGAGGGAGGAGGGAGGAAAGCAGGATTGAGGGAGGGATGGAGCGAGGAAGGGAAGAAGAGAGGGAGGCAGGAGGGCGGGCGGAAGACAAGGAAAACCACCCGTCAAGGCCTCCGCCGACGGCCGCCCAGAACCCGCCACTGGACAGCACCCCCCCGCGTGCGCCACAGGTCGCAAGGGATATGCGCGGGCACGCATCTGGAGCCAGGAGAGGCGGCCTGGTGGCCCCTCGCGGGCCATCCTGGGCCTTCTGGGCAGGCCCCTGTGCGACGGTGAAGGGACGGGGGCGCCCCGTCGCCGTCTCGCCTCGCCTCTTCGTCGGCGCCTCGTCGTCTCGCCCACCTCCCCTCGAGCCGCTCATCATCAGACACTTTCTCCCCGTGCGCTGAAAGCCCGGTCACCGTTCCGGCCGGCGCGGGGCGAGAGGCGAGGGAAAGGGGAGAGGCGAGGAGGGAGGTCGGCTTTTGTTGCCCCCTGTAGCGCCCTGAGAGCCCCTAGGGCCTCCCGGAGCCTCCTGGTGCATCCTGGGCAGAGGAGGGTCCCAATGGTGGTGTGGCGTCGCTGCCTTCGACGCTCCACTCGAGGCATCTCCGATCTCCAGCTTGAGGAGGCGTCGTGGACCCTTCGCCGGGGGTGGCCCCAAGGACCCAGAGGTGGTGGTGTCGCTTCTCCGTTCTCCGAGCACGTAGTCCTGCGCAGAACTCAGGGATCGGGACTCGCCAGGGCCTCACCGAAAGCGGACGCGTGAAGCCTGACGTCCCTGAGTGGAGTGGGCAAACGAACTATGGCAGCGAAGAGGCCCTTCGGCTAAACCGAAGAAGAGAGCAAGCGCCGTCGGGCCACCCGGGCCGCCCTCTTCTTTGGGGGTAGGAGAGGAGAGCGGCGCGATCACAAACCGCCCAAAGGTGCCTTCTGCGCACCAGCACGTCCGGCTCGAGGTAAATCAGGGCCGCGCGCACCCGCAGGAGCTGGATGCTTACAGGTCTCGCAACTGCCCCACGCCCCGGGTGCAACAGCTGGCTCTGCCCTCGACGAGTCATGCCGAACGAAAGGCCTACCGAAAAATTGCTCACGGGAACAGCTCGCCGTGGGCAGAACGTATCTGCCGCCGTGCTCCTTGGCACGTCGAGGCGTGGTAGAGTGTCAAGGGCTGCCTGGTAGGGTAGGATTTCTGCAATCTCCCAAAACGCTCTCTCCTGTGATCACGTCCACCCGCGTGCTCTGCTCCCCCCCCCTCCTTCCACCACCAAAAACGATGGATCCGCGCTTCCAAGGCCACGCTCAAGAGGGCACCATCCCCACTAACGAGCTGTGGGCCCGCGGTCCCGATGCCACGATCCATATTGAGGAAAACATGAATCCGCGCTACCGAAGCCACGATCACTAATGAAAACAATGGATCCCGCGCTCCCGAGCTTCCCAGACGGCCGAGGCAGGCAATGCCTCCAAGACAACCCAAGCTGAGCACAAAACTACCTTGGATGCCCTATCAGGACGGCCCAAGAGGGCCACATGAGGATTCCCCAGCAGTACAGTAGGGCCCCTACAAGCCCAAATCACAGATTGTCCCAAGATTTTGGCCGACTTGTGCGTCTTCACCTGTTCGGTTGTCCTTCAGCTTCAGACGGCCGTAGTCGTGGCCTCCGAGATGGCCTCAAGACGGCCCAGGAGGGCCCCCAAATGGCTGTAACAATCCTCCAACATGGCCTCAACACAGCCCAGGAGGGTTCCCCAGCTGGCCCAAGAGGGCATCACGAGCGACCCACTACGGCCTAGATGCCCCTCGACGGCCCAACACCACCCTAATACAACCCCACGACGGCCCTAAGGGACACCCTAGATTCAGCGGCGAGCCCAGGGGGAAATGAGAGGGGGCGGGCCTTCTCAAAAGGCTAGGAAATCTCCTGGCCTTCTGAAAAGTTTCCTAATCCTGCCCGGAAGACGAACAAAAACCTCTCAGAAGGAGCGAGGGCCTCTGAAAAATGCCGCCGCCTTTCGAGAAGGCATTATCCTTCTCACTTCCCCCCTTCGCCGCCGATAGACGGCCAAGAGTGCAATTCACAGCCCAGAGCCTGCCTCATCAGAGCCTACTTACGACAGATGGCCTCTAGAGGCCGAGCGTGATATAAGCTTCAGGCTCCAAAGGAGCCTAGTGTATGTTAGCCAAGCGTCTCCCGGCGAATCGGGCCCCCTAAGACTCCAGGTTTCAGCAAGCCTTGCTTAGTAGGCCCTCCGTTTCCCTAGCAACAAGTTGCAACATATATTATAAACAGAACAGGTTCGACCGAAACCGTTCTGGCTCAAGACCTTGCAGCGTCTCAGCGACGCTGGATTCCTGGTGTGCGTCCGAGAGACGCAGAGCAGCGAACTGCCCGCTAACAAACAGATCCTGTTCATCACCACAGTGCGATCAGCATCGCACAGCCACTGCCCCCTCATATTCGACCAGCTTTGAGACGAGCTCAACATCTCCTACAGTGATTTCGACACGTTATCAGAACAGATAAGAGAGTAGCATCTATCAGGATTGCTATCAGGGCAGTGGTCAGAAGCGGGACCATTGCATGGTAGCGGAGCTGCCAAGCTCCACGGACTACAGATTCACGGACATCAGTTTCATCGTGTGAGCCATGACGACGAACAACGGCAACGATGACATTATACCCAAGTGGAATGGAGATCTCACCACGGTGGACGATTACGAGACGTCAAAGCCTACATCCGAGGGACGAGGCGAGATGAACGATATGTGTGCGGCCCACGACTATGGAGACGACTCGAAGGTCGAGCACGACAAGCAGCCAAAGACGTGGACTGGGACCGCATCGAGAAAGATGATGGAGCTGCGGAGCTACTACGACATGGTCGAGCGAAGCTTGGAGCCCAGCCCATCCAGGATGCAGGCAAGTACCTCGCGAGATGGATATTCGACTTACGCCGAGATACTGGAGAGCCGATGCGGAGTTATATCAGCAGAGACGACGAGGCCTACCACGACGTTGTGAAAGGGTTTGACACCGAGTATTTCAAGAAGCGACGTACGGCCCGCCTCTCTGAGATATCCAAGTTGTGGAACACCCTCTGCAGTGAGCTGAAGTGGATTCTTTACAAGATCGAGCATGAGGGCCCGGACGATGCTGCAAAAGTAGCGAAGGACCTCAACTGGCGTCTCTGGAATTTCGTCAGCAACGGCCTGGAGGAGATACCCGAGCATCCAGATTTCGGTACCGACTTCAATCAGGCGATTCCTCTGGACCAACTGCGCGGATGGCTACTGCTGCAGAGATCAAGATTGCCCCCGACCGAACGTGCAGCAGTGATCAGCGCAGTCAAGGGCAACTTCGACTACGACAGCATCGGAGAACAGTTGCGAGTATCTTGGCCCGACGATGAGTTGACGAATCGCGACAAGAAGCAAGGCAAGGACAACCATCGCCATCGAGAGCGAGGTCGAATCCATGCCGGCTGGGAGGAGAACAGCGAGGACGATGACGACTACAGCTACTACGATGGAGAGCAGTCGGAGGTCTCCTACGAGGATGGCGACGGCGACGAGGACGAAGGAGATCCCGAGGAGCCGCTCTACAGTGCCCAGGAGATCGAGGACGCCGAGACCGCGTTCGCCGCCCAGCAGCGCAGCTTCGAGGAAGCCAGAGACCTCCTTCGACTAGTCAAGACAGCAAGGACGTTCTACCCCGTGGATGAGAAGAAGAAGCGAGAAGGTCGCGGAGGACAGCGCAAGTTTCAAGGGCCCCGGGCTGGATCCCGAGACTCTGGATCATCGAGTAAAGGACGAGGCCGAGGGAGCGGACAGCGACGTGATGGACCGCCTCGACGAGATGGAGATCGCTCCCAAGGTCGGCCGTCCCGGAAGGGGCCATGTCTGAAGTGCGGACGCAATCACGAGACGAAGGATCATCGAGATCGCGCTTCATCGGCTGGCAGCAAAGGAGATCGTGAACGCCCAAAGCGAGGTTTTGGAGCTTTCGTCTCCTTCGGCGCCGAGCAGGACGCCGAGATGGAGGCCAACCTTATTGCGAACGAGACGACCCGCATCGAGCTGGAGACTGCGATGCTCCACAAGCCGGTGATCAAGAACAAGCCGAAGCAGGAGAAGAGGCAGCTCGACAAGACACAGCATCTTCAGGTGGAGAAGACCATCGAGATGCGGGAGCGAGTTCAACACGTCAAGCTGCCGACCTGGCCAACACTGGAGAAGCTCGACGACTGGATCCTCATGAATGTGAAGCAGAGCTCCTCCAAGGGTGTCGGAATCTTGGACATCGGCGCAACCTCCAGCATCGTGGGCATAGAGGCCACCGAGAACCTACGCGACATCATTTACGAGCAGACGGGCCAGAACATCAAGATGGACGTTAGCCAGGAGAGTACTTTTATCTTTGGAGACGGCAACTCCAATACCTGCACCGGCAAGGCTACCTTTCCTCTCACGATTGCTGGTGTGGACGGCGAGCTCGAGATTACCATCGTCGACGCAGATGCCCCGCTCTTGATCGGAGTGGATGTTCTGAGCCGCCTTGGAGCTGTGATCGACTGCGAGGCACACTCTGTTTACTTCAAGAAGCTCGGACGCCGAGCTGAACTGCTCGTCCTTCCGAGCGGTCACCTTGCACTGCCACTTGTTCAACAAGCCGATTTTGGCTTCGTGGCATCCCTCGAGTAGGGGTCCACGCCCTCGACACCCGAGACTGCTACGGTGCCGGAGGGAAAACATGAAAATGAGCAGCCGATCGAAAGCAAGATTGACAAACCACCTGCAGCTGTGCCCTAACTTACGAGCACGGGGACATCATTATTACCTACGCCTACGGGGACACCATCATCCTTTACGCTTACGGGGATATCATCATCACCTACGCCTCCGGGGACATCATCAATAAAAACGTCTTGGGCATCATCTATATCAGCCCCTACGGCATCAGCTATGACATCATCAGGATCACCTTCAGAGGCCTTCCCAAAGATCCCCGAGTTCCCAGCGCTCCAAACGGAAACGCCACCGTCTTCCAGAGCCATTTGTGGCGCGAACGATTCGAGCTCAGAGCTCCGATTTCGGCAACCAGCTATTCTTCCATATTCGCATGAGCCTCAACCGCGAGACGAAATGCCGCAAAGGAGAGAGCCAGCAAGTGAAGCTGGAGAACGAGGAGATGGACGGACCCTGGGAGCAGGTGGACGTTCGGGTGCCTCTGGAGGACTCGGGAGCCTCGGCGACGTGCCGCTCACCGACGTCGACGAGGCCTACGCTACAACGGATACTGCCGCAGGGGCGACTGATCGCTCATCAGGACACGAAGGGCAACATCTTCTACACGGTCGAGGGCTCGGAGCTGGACAACAGCACGAAGCGGATGACGGACATCTTCCTACTGGAGCACCTGCCGAATTGGGAGATGTGGTCCAGCAAGCTCCTCCGGCAGTGGACACAGTGCCGCCGCTGGGGGCGGGTCATCCAGAAGGTATTTCTAGACGATCGACCACGTGAACTGGAAGCTGGACAGTCTCGGCCTACCTGTGCAGCTGCTACCAGAAGTACCCGACCTGGCCGACGGACCTCGAGCACCGTACGAAGATCGAGCCGTGTCCGCCGAGCACGAAGGCGAAGCAGCGCCCCCAGAAGTCGACAGCCGCGGCCGCGCGCGAGCAGAACCAAGAGCTGCGGGCCACCATCGATACCGCCAAGTCCGATTTCTTGACCAAGTTTGCGGAGGTGAATGCGTTTGCAGCGCTGAGCTCAGAGCAGATACACGAGCAGCTCAGCATGGTCACGCTGGGCAACCATCTCAGGCCCCTGTGCAAGATGTGGGGGTTGACCCAGTCGGGCAAGAAGGAGGAGGTGGTCGACAATATCATAGCGTACATCATCGAGCAGCGCGGCACGGCGGCAGCGACGATCACGATCAAGGTGGAGACCGAGACGAAGAGAGTGGAGACGGCGCCTACGACTATGGGCCCGGCGATCCCAGCTCACTACACGCAGATGTGCCAGCGCCCGGACTGCAAACTATGCCGAGGCATCGCGAAGAACGAGCCGATCGTGAAAGTGAGGCCCTACGGGTGGTGCCACCAGGCATGCGCGGCCAGGACGAGGGCCCGAGTGAGGTTCAGGCCGAGAGGTCGCGCTGGCACAGCGACGAGAGCCGGCCGCTGAGAGGTCATCAGCGTCAGGCGATCCGTGCAGCTACTCACATGACGAGATCGGCCATCTTCGGAGCTATGTGCGCCCTCACGACCTTCGGCCGCCTGACGATGGTCGAAGCGTGCACCCACGAGGACTCGAACCTCGGTAAGGTGTGCGACGAGAAGGGCTACCACTACGAGCGTCTCGGCCTGTTCAACGAGAACGACCTCAGCAAGCCGCAGGGTTACCACAAGGCGAAGTTCTTGCTGGACGAGAAGCGCCCGGAGCTCTTCGTCAGCACTCCACCCTGCGGGCCCTGGTCGATAATGCAGAACGTCAACCAGCGCGATGACAGGCAGAGGGAGAACCTTCGCAGGAAGCGCCTCAAGAGCCAGCGGACCTTCGAGAACAACAAGAGGCTCATAGAGCACCAGGTGCGCAACTTGAACGGCTCGGCCCTCGCCGAGCAGCCACACGACAGTCGGTCGTGGCAGAAGACCTGCTGGAAGGATCTCCACAAGATCCTCCCCTACGAGGTGATCGTGGACGGCTGCGCCTGCGGACTAAGAGCTCCCGACATAGGCGAGCTCATGAAGAAGCGCTGGAAGTTTCTGACGAACGACAAGAGGATCTGGGTCGCCCTACAGCCGCTACAATGCCGTGGAGGACACTACCACGAGGAGATTGAGAGCAGCTTGAGGACCGAGGCTTCGGGCTACTACCCCAAGATGCGGTGCCGCCAGATCCTCCGGGCTCTGACCAAGAGCCAGAACCAGAACTACTTCGAGGACGAGGTTGTGAACTGCCTCTGCATGGCAGCTACCCAGCAGCCACCGACGGAGCCTACGCCCGTGGAGGACGAGCCGTCGATTCCACCACAAGACGGCAAGGAGACTCACAACCTCACCAAATAGACAATCAAAAATATAGAGAGCTACATCAGGCTGGTGCACACCAACCTTGGACATCTACCTCGAGCGCATTTACTACGATACCTTCGTGACCGTGGTGCTCGCCCAGAGGTGCTACGACTGGCCAGGACATTCAAGTGCGACATCTGCGACGCGCACCGTCCACCGACGAAGCGGCCACCAGCATCATCAGCAGAGCAGCCTCAGAACGGTCACGAGGTTCTCTTCGACGCCTTCTCATGGATCCGTCGCAGCAAGAAGACGAACGTGATGGCGCTGGCGATCCTCGACGCCGGCTCAGACATCCTCTACGTGCGGCTGATCGACGAGAAACACAGATCCCGGGTACGACAAGTTCGTGCCGGCGACCTTCGGCATATCTTTGCGACAAAGTGGTTCCCCTGGATGGGACGTCCGAAGGTCATGCGCTACGACCCCGCTGGCAGCGCCATCTCTAACGAGTTCCGCGAGTGGATCGAGAGCCAGGGAGTCTACCGTCTTCCATGCGCGGCCGACGCCCACTGGCAGATCGGCAAGATTGAGCGCGCGATAAAAGCCTTCAAGGAGGCCCTCGACGCTTTCGACGAGATGGTCTCAGCTGAAGTACCTACCAGCGAGATGATTGGACTCCAGACAGCTGCCAGGAACGACCTGATCAGGATCGACGGGTTCAGCCCCCTGCAGCGCTATGCGGGACGGACCCCGACGGGGACCACGGTCAACCTGTCCGACGAGCCGAACAACCTGCCCCTCATCAGCGCCGAGCTGCAGGATGGCACCTTCAGCAGGGACGCCCAAGTTCGGCGAATGGCGCGGCTGGCTCACATCCAGACCGAGAACTCCGACCGAGTCAAACGGGCGGAGGCCGCGCGCTTCAGGTCTTTCAAGAGGTACGAGACGGGCGACCTGGTCTTCGTCTACAGGAGGCTCCCACCAGGAGCCTGGATCAAGAAGGGCCAACCTCGCTCCATGCCTGGGCGAGGCCGCTGGTACAGACCTGGACGAGTACTCTGCCACGAGCCATCGAGCTCGGGACATCGACCTGGTCTACCTGGGACGGTGGTCAACATCACACTGGCTGGACGCCTCTACCGAGTTGCCCCAGAACAGCTTCGACCTGCTACGCCCTCCGAAGAGGCGATGGACTCTCTACGCTCGCGTCGCGAGCAGCCGGGGACGTGGACCTTCGGCGACGTCCAGAAGCTGCTCGACCAGAACGAGGTGATCGACCTTTCGAACGAGTCCCCGCCTACTGGCGAGGACCTTGCCGCTGACGACGGCGAGTCTGTCAGCGCTCGCACCTTCGGGGGCAACGCGAGCGGACCCTGGGCCATTCCTGAGGACGAGGAGCTACCCGTGCCACGAGGAGATCCTCGGAGTTTGGGCCCAGGAGGAGGAGGCGGCGGCCGAGGTGGTGGAGCCATCGAGGCACCCCCAGGACTGGAAGAGAGACTTCTTCCCGGACCGCGACCTCCAAGGCGCCTTCGGAAGAAGGGCAATCCCTGGACCGAGGCGGCCGAGGTCCAAGAACCTATCATACAGCCAGCACAGCCAGAAGCACCACCAGGCATGCCACAAGAGGGAGGCCACGAAGCTGGACACCAAGAGGAAGCCGAGCTACCTGCAGAAGAGGAGATCGTCATGGAGGCCTCTCCCGACGACGACCAAGCGGAGCGTACGTCTCAGCAGCCCATTGCGGTGGACACGGACGACGACCTCGACGAGACTACGGCGCCCGACGTGAACGACAAGCGCCGGCTGAAGTCGCCTGGCTCAACCGAGCCACCTGCCAAGAAGCAGCGGATCAACGTTGCGACCCAGGAGGCTTTCTCCTACTACCTGCAGGAGGGTAACTTCTACGGGGACTACGCCTACAGCGTCCAGCAGTACGACGAGACGAAGGAGGACGACGAGCTCATCGTGCTGGACATCCCCGTCAGCAACGAGCACGCGCTCATGGCTTACATGGACGACCCCAGCAACTTCGTGGCATGACAGGCCCGGAAGGGCCGCGTGGAGGTCTCCTTCAAGAAGGCGACGCCTGAGGAAAAGAAGTTGCTACTTGAGGCCCAGCAGAAGGAGTGCACCTCCGTCCTTAGCACGAAGGCCGTCAGGATCCTCAGCCGCAAGGGGATCGACCCGGCGCGCCTGTTGCGCTGCCGCTTCGTGCTGACCTGGAAGAAGGACGAGCAGGGCAACGTGCGCCGAGGCAAGGCCCGACTGGCCGTGCTTGGCTTCAGCGACCCCGATCTGCTACACCTACGGACAGAATCACCAGTTGCCTCAAGACGTGCACGACAACTTCTACTGGCCATGGCAGCAAGACACAAGTGGAAGCTGGAGAAGGCAGACGCAGTGACAGCCTTCCTCCAGGGCAAGACTGACGAGGAGAAGAGGAAGATCTACGCCGACCCGCCGAAAGATGTTCGTCAGGCCTTCGGCATGAAAGATGACGATGTACTGCAGTTCCTCAAGCCGATGTACGGGTTCGTACATGCTCCTCGCAAGTGGTGGCTCCATTTCAAGGACACGCTCAAGACGCTGAAGCTGGAGATCGAGCCTTGCGTCTGGGTCATCCGAGACGGCAACAAGCTGGTTGGCATGGTCATCCTACACGTCGACGATATGATGATTGCCGGCGATCACAACAACTCGGCCTTTCGCAAGAAGCGTCAGGAGATTCAACAAGCTTTCGAATGGACACCCTGGGAGAGCCGAGCGTTCGTGCAGTGCGGCATCAGCATTCGACAGAACGAGGATTACACCTGCAGCCTCGCACAGGACAGCTACAGCCTGAACGTGGAGCCCATCAAGATACGACGTGGACGGAAACCCACAGAAGGAGTTTCAGACAAGGAGAGATCAGACCTACGAGGCCGACTGGGTACAGTCGGATGGCGAGCTCAGCAGTCGGCCCCGTGGCTCAGCGTAGAAGTCTCTCTACTTCAAGCGGAGATACCTACGGCCACGGTCTCAACCATCCAGAAGATCAACAAACTTATCCGCACCATGAATGACACCGCCGACGTGGTCATGCTCATCCCGGCCATTGAGCAGATCGCCGTGGTTGGCTGGGGCGATGCAGCCTGGGCCGCCCGCATCACCGGCGAGTCCCAAGGCGGAGAAATCGTTGTTCTGGCCCCCCTGTCCTTCCTGAGTGGCTCGACAGAGACGGTTGCGCCTATCTCGTGGAGATCGTGCAAGCTACCAAGAGTGGCCAGAAGCAGTACGAGTGCGGAGGTCCAGATGATGACTGAGACCCTGGACGAGATCAGTTACGTGCGCCTATTCATCTACGAGCTGGAGTGCGGTCAAGTGGACTACACCAACAAGCAGCACGTGAACGACGCCGTCTCATCCTGCCCTGGCGTACTTGTCACAGACGGTAAGTCGGGCTACGACGCGATCGAGAAGAGTGAGTCAGCTGGTCTCGGACTACGTGACAAGCGGACGAGCATCGAGTGCCTGGGCATTCGACAGCAGAAGGAGCAGACGGCCCTCCAGATACGCTGGGTACACAGCGACGCCATGTTAGCCGACGGGTTGAACAAGGATCGTGCCGCCAAGGTCTTGCTGGAGTTCTTCAGATCAGGCCAACGCTGGAGACTCGTGGACGACCCCCTTCACCGCAGCGTCCGGAAGCGCAAGACCGAGGGTATGGACAAGCTCGACCATGGCAAGCCGATATCGGACGAAGACGAGAACGCAATGCTGGAGGCCCTGATCTACTACGCCCGCGACAACCCCGACGAGCAGGAGAGCCCTGCTGGAGATACAGCCCTGTGGGGCATGGTGAAGCCGCTCACGCGCTCTGTGCTTTCTGTGAATTCAGTTGCCAGAGGCAGGTCTCGATGCCGTAACATCGATCTTTAGCTTTTGGGCATGCAATTCACAGCGCAGAGCCTGCCTCATCAGAGCCTACTTACGACGATATAAGCTTCAGGCTCCAAAGGAGCCTAGTGTATGTTAGCCAAGCGTCTCCCGGCGAATCGGGCCCCCTAAGACTACAGGTTTCAGCAAGCCTTGCTTAGTAGGCCCTCCGTTTCCCTAGCAACAAATTGCAACATATACTATAAACAGAACAGGTTCAACCGAAACCGTTCTGGCTCAAGACCTTGCAGCGTCTCAGCGACGCTGGATTTCTGGTGTGCGTCCGAGAGACGCAGAGCAGCGAACTGCCCGCTAACAAACAGATCCTGTTCATCACCACAGTGCGATCAGCATCGCACAGCCACTGCCCCCTCATATTCGACCAGTTTTGAGACGAGCTCAACATCTCCTACAGTGATTTCGACACGTTGTCAGAACAGAGAAGAGAGTAGCATCTATCAGGATTGCTATCAGGGCAGTGGTCAGAAGCGGGACCATTGCAAAGAGGGCCAAAAGATGGCAGCTCCACCGACACGACGCGGATGAGTGTCTCACATGCTACGGCTCTCCCAACTCTGAGTACGCAAAAGGTCACGCGTTACGGCCGCCCGTGCCCTCTCGAGCCGTCGGCACCCAGAGTGCTGGGCTGGCACGGTGGAGGGACTTGCCACAGGCAGCTGGATTTCAAGTGACGAGCACGGCATCGAGTGGTGGTAACGGCGGGTTTCACTGCCAGAGTCTGGCACGCTCGAACAAGAATCCCAAGACCTTGCGGAAACGAGCCCGGCCCCCCCTCCCGCCCAAAAAATTTCACTGCGTGGAGCTCCCCAAATGCGCATCTATTCGCATGGACCTGTCCGCCGTGAATGTCTAGGCGCAAGAGCTTTCGAATATAAACGGGCTTCAGTTGTGACGGTCTGGTCATGAATCTAACTGAGAATGAATTTGAGTGTGAATGAGCCTCAGTAGTACGAGCGCGTATCTGCGCATGAGCCTGGGTCCTCCTGGGGCCTCCTGGGGCCTCCTGAAACCCACTGGGGCTTCCTGGGGCCTCCAGGAGCCTCTTGGGGCCTCCTGGGACCTCCTAGGGATGATTCGTGCCCCATGAGAGGCCCAATCTATAGCAACAGACGTACATACAACATTGCGGATTGGAGCCACAGGAGAAAGGGGCAATCTAAAGGAACACACGTAAAACACGAAGGACTCGTGCCCCAGGAGAGGCCCTATATGAACATAAATACACAGGAGAAGGACAATGTATAGAAACATACGTAAAACATCCAGGATTCGTGCTCCAGGTGAGACCCAATCTATAGGAGCATACGTAACACACATGGGATTGGAGCCACTCCTGTTGCCTACTGAGGCCTCCTGCTCCTGGGGCCTCTCGGGGCCTCCTGTTGCCTTCCGAGACCTCCTGGCGCTTCCTCTGGCCTCCTGGGGCCTCCTGTGGCTTCCTGAGGCCTCCCGGAGCTTCCTGGGGCCTCCTAGAGCCCTTTGGGACATCCTGTGACCTCTTGAGTCTTTCTGTGGCCTCCTGATGCCTCCTGGGACCTCATGTGGTCTCCTGGGGCCTCCTGGAGCCTGTTGGAGCCTCCTGTGGCATCCTGAGGAGAATCTGTGCCCACGAGTCTGGCCACCGATCGAGACGTCCTCAAAATCTGGCCCACCTGGGGGGTGAAAATGAGCGCCTCGCTCGAGATATCCTCCAAATCTGCTCCGAAAACAGAAGATGTTGGGACAAAAAACAAGCAAACCGCTTGAGACATCCCTACAAAACGACCGCGAACGGACCGTGAGATAACCCCTGGCGGCTCCCCTTAGGGGAGTGAAAATGAACGCCTCGCTCGAGACATCCTCCAAATCTGCTCCGAAAGCGAAGGATGTTGGGACAGAAAACAAGCAAACCGCTTGAAACATCCCCACAAAACGGCCGCGAACGGGACCGTGAGATAACCACTGGCGGCTCCCCTTAGGGACGTGACAATGAGCGCCTCGCTCGAGACATCCTCCAGATCTGCTCCGAAAGCGAAGGATGTTGGGACAGAAAACAAGCAAACCGCTTGAGACATCCCCACAAAACGGCCGCGAACGGGACCGTGAGATAACCCCTGGCGGCTCCCCGGGGGGTGAAAAAGAGCGCCTCGCTCGAGACGTCCTCCAAATCTGCTCCGAAAGCGAATTGGGACAGAAAACAAGCAAACCGCTTGAGACATCCCTACAAAACGGCCGCGAACGGGACCGTCAAAACACCCCTGGCGGCTCCCCTTAGGGACGTGACAATGAGCGCCTCGCTCGAGACATCCTCCAAATCTGCTCCGAAAGCGAAGGATGTTGGGCACAGAAAACAAGCAAACCGCTTGAGACATCCCCACAAAACGGCCGCGAACGGGACCGTGAGATAACCCCTGGCGGCTCCCCGGGGGGTGAAAAAGAGCGCCTCGCTCGAGACGTCCTCCAAATCTGCTACGAAAGCGAAGGATGCTGCATGCTGGGACAGAAAACAAGCAAACCGCTTGAGACATCCCCACAAAACGGCCGCGAACGGGACCGTGAGATAACCACTGGCGGCTCCCCTTAGGGACGTGACAATGAGCGCCTCGCTCGAAACATCCTCCAGATCTGCTCCGAAAGCGAAGGATGTTGGGCACAGAAAACAAGCAAACCGCTTGAGACATCCCCACAAAACGGCCGCGAACGGGACCGTGAAAACACGCCTGGCGGCTCCCCTTTGGGGGGTGAAAATGAACGCCTCGCTCGAGACATCCTCCAAATCTGCTCCGAAAGCGAAGGATGTTGGGACAGAAAACAGGCAAACCACTTGAGGCATCCCCACAAAACGGCCGCGAACGGGCTGTGTGTGATTCTCAGCATGAGTAAGTCTGATTAGGAGTAGGTCTGACTATGAGTAGGTATGAGTAGGTCTGAGTATGAGAAATTCTGTGTGTGTGAGTAAGTCTGGATATGAGTAAGTCTGAGTGTGAGTCAGTCTGTGTATGAGTAAATCTGAGTATGAGGAGGGGAGGGGAGGAGAAGAGAGAGAAGAAGGAGTAGGAGGCGTCCAAGTAATTACTCAATGCGTGGAGATCCCCATATGTGCATCTTTTTGAACAAATAATTGTCAGTGGGATCTGGGAATGCGCGTCTAGCCATTTGGGCGCTTGGGACTGCTCCTGGGGCCTCTCGGGGCCTCTTGTTGCCTTCCGAGGTCTCCTGGCGCTTCCTCTGGCCTCCTGGGGCCTCCTGTGGCGTCCTGAGGCCTCCCGGAGCTTCCTGGGGCCTACTAGAGCCTTTTGTGACATCCTGTGGCCTCTGAGTCTTTCTGGGGCCTCCTGCTGCCTCCTGGGACCTCCTGGAGCCTGTCGGAGCCTCCTGTGGCATCCTGAGGAGAATCTGTGCCCACGAGTCTGGCCACCGATCAAACATCCTCACAATCTGGCCCACCTGGGGGGTGAAAATGAGCGCCTCGCTCGAGACATCCTCCAAATCTGCTCCGAAAGCGAAGGATGTTGGGCACAGAAAACAAGCAAACCGCTTGAGACATCCCCACAAAACGGCCGCGAATGGGACCGTGAAAACACCCGTGGCGGCTCCCCTTAGGGACGTGACAATGAGCGCCTCGCTCGAGACGTCCTCCAGATCTGCTCCGAAAGCGAAGGATGTTGGGCACAGAAAACAAGCAAACTGCTTGAGACATCCCCACGAAACGGCCGCGAACTGGACCGTGAAAGCACACCTGGCGGCTCCCCTTAGGGATGCTGAAAATGAGCGCCTTGCTCGAGACATCCTCCAAATCTGCTCCGAAAGCGAAGGATGTTGGGACAGAAAACAAGCAAACCGCTTGAGACATCCCTACAAAACGGCCGCGAACGGGACCGTCAAAACACCCCTGGCGGCTCCCCTTAGGGACGTGACAATGAGCGCCTCGCTCGAGACATCCTCCAAATCTGCTCCGAAAGCGAAGGATGTTGGGCACAGAAAACAAGCAAACCGCTTGAGACATCCCCACACAACGGCCGCGAACGGGACCGTGAGATAACCCCTGGCGGCTCCCCTGAGGGGGTGAAAATGAAAGCCTCGCTCGAGACATCCTCCTCCAAATCGGCTCCGAAAGCGAAGGATGTTGGGACAGAAAACAAGCAAACCGCTTAAGACATGCCCACAAAACGGCCGCGAGCGGGACCGTGAAAACACCTCTGGCAGCTCCCCTCAGGGGGGCTGGAGCCAGCGCCCCGCCTGAGACATCCTCACAATATGTTGTGTGTGTGGAATGAATCAGACAATGAACAGGTCTGAAAACGAGCAGGAGTAAGTCTGGGAACAAGTCTGAGTATTAGTTAGTCTGGGCATGAGTGAGTCTCAGCATGAGTAACTCTGAGTAGGAGTAGGTCTGAGTATGAGTAAGTAAGTCTGGGTATGAGTAAGTCTGAGTGTGAGTCAGTATGTGTATGAGTAAGTCTGAGTATGAGGAGGGGAAGGGAGGACAAAGAGAAAAAAAAGAGGAGAAGTCGGCGGCGTCCAAGAACTAACAATAACCCCCATCTTAGGATATGGGGAATAACAAGAACCCCATCTTAGAATCTTAGGATATGGGGACGAAAAGAGTGTGAACACAATCGTGGCAGAACCCCAACTAAAAACTGACGCGAATGACCCAACCGCTTCCATCGCCATACGGATCAAACAATAAGCATAAGGCGACAGCGAGCGCCAGGAGCAAGCAGGAACAAACAGCAGCAGGCAGCAGCAACAACACATTATCCTGCGACGTACCCAGCCCTTTCTACACACGTGACAATTGCACTCCGGAAAACTCAATACCGAAGGACATTTCGGCGCCATGATATAGGGCGGTAATCTGCGTAGGGCGTACATCCGCTGAGCCTCCCAGAAGCCCATGCGCGCCAGGTGAGCCAGGTGCGACAGGTGCGCCAGGTGCGCCAGGTGCGCCAGGTGCGCCAGGTGCGCCAGGCGCGCCAGGCGCGCATGGCGCATCTGTGCGCCAAGTGTGCGCCAGGTGTGCGCCAGGTGTGCGCCCGGTGTGCCAGGTGCGCCAAGTGCGCCCAGCGCGCCAGGTGCGCCACGTGCGCCAGATGCGCCAGGTACGCCAGGTGCGCCAGGCACGCCAGGCGCGCCAAGTGAGCCAGGTGCGCCAGGTGTGCGCTAGTTGTGCGCCAGGTGCGCCTAGCGCGCCAGGTGCGCCAGGTGCGCCAGGTGCGCCAGGTGTGCCAGGTGCGACAGGCGCGCCAAATGCGCAAGGTGCGCCAGGCGCGCCAGGTGTGTGCCAGGTGCGCGCCAGGCGCGCAAGGTGCGCCAGGTGCGCCAGTTGCGCCAGGCGCGCCAGTTGCGCCATGCGCGCCAGGCGCGCCAGGTGCGCCAGGTGCGCCAGGTGTGCCAGGTGCGTCAGCTGCGCCCAGCGCGCCAGGTGCACCAGGTGCGCGCCAGGTGCTCCCAGCGCGCCAGGTGCGCCAGGTGAGCCCAGCGCGTCAGGTGCGCGCCAGGTGCGCGCCAGGCGCGCGCCAGGTGCGCCAGTTGCGCCAGGTGTGCGCCACGTGTGCGCCAGGTGCGCGCCAGGTGCGCCAGGTGCGCCAGGTGCCCCAGGTGTGCCAGGCGCGCCAGTTGCGCCAGGCGCGCCAAGTGAGCCAGGTGCGCCATGTGCGCCAGGTGCGACAAGTGCGCCAGGTGCGCCAGGTGCGCCAGGTGCGCCAGGCGCGCCAGGTCTGCGCCAGGTGTGCGCCAGGTGTGCGCCAGGTGTGCGCCAGGTGCGCCCAGCGCGCCAGGTGCGCCAGGTGCGCCAGATGCACCAGGTGTGCCAGGTGTGCGCCAGGTGCTCGCCAGGTGCTCCAAGCGCGCCAGGTGCGCCAGCGCATCAGGTGCGCGCCAGGTGCGCGCCAGGTGCGCGCCAGGCGCGCGCCAGCTGCGCCGGCTGCGCCAGGTGCGCGCCAGGTGTGCGCCAGGAGCGCGCCAGATGCGCCAGGTGCGCAAGTTGCCCCAGGTGTGCCAGGTGCGCCAGGTGCGCCAGTTGCGCCAGGCGCGCCAAGTGCGCCAGGTGAGCTTGGTGCGCCAGGTGCGGCAGGTGCGCCAGGTGCGCCCAGCGCGCCAGGTGCGCCAGGCGCGCGCGAGGTGCGCGCCAGGTGCGCGCCAGGTGCGCGCCAGGTGCGCGCCAGGTGCGCCAGGTGCGACAAGTGCGCCAGGTGCGCCAGGTGCGGCAAGGGGACAGGGAAGCCTCAAAGTGGTCTGCGTAAGACGTACCTCCGCAACCCTGTCTACACAAGTGACAACTGCATTCAAGACCACTCAATACCGAAGGACATTTCGGCGCCATGGTATAGTGGTGATCTGCGTAGGATGTACCTCCGCTGAGCCTCCCAGAAGCCCATGCGCGCCAAGTGAGCCAAGCGCGCCAGGCGTGCCAGGTGCGCCAGGTGCGCCAGGTGCGCCAGGTGCGCCAGGTGCGCCACGTGCGCCAGGTGCGCCACGTGCGCCAGGTGCGCCAGGCGCGCCAGGCGCGCCAGGTGCGCCAGGCGCGCCAGGCGCGCCAGGTGCGCCAAGTGTGCGCCAGGTGTGCGCCAGGTGCGCGCCCGGTGCGCCAGGCGCGCCAGGTGCGCCCAGCGCGCCAGGGGCGCCAGGTGCGCCAGATGCGCCAGGTACGCCAGGTGAGCCAGGCGCGCCTAGCGCGCCAGGTGCGCCAGGTGCGCCAGGCGCGCCAGGCGCGCCAGGTGCGCCAGGTGCGCCAGGCGCGCCAAGTGAGCCAAGTGCGCGCGGTGTGCGCGCCAGGTGCGCCAGGTGCGCCAGGTGCGCCAGGTGTGCCAGGTGCGTCAGGCGCGCCAGATGCGCCAGGTGCGCCAGGTGTGCGCCAGGTGTGCGCCAGGCGCGCCAGGTGCGCCAGGTGCGCCAGATGCGCCAGGCGCGCCAGTTGCGCCATGCGCGCCAGGCGCGCCAGGTGCGCCAGGTGCGCCAGGTGTGTCAGGTGCGTCAGGTGCGCCCAGCGCGCCAGGTGCACCAGGTGTGCGCCAGGTGCTCCAAGCGCGCCAGGTGCGCCAGCGCATCAGGTGCGCGCCAGGTGCGCGCCAGGTGCGCGCCAGGCGCGCGCCAGCTGCGCCGGCTGCGCCAGCTGCGCGCCAGGTGTGCGCCAGGAGCGCGCCAGATGCGCCAGGTGCGCAAGTTGCCCCAGGTGTGCCAGGTGCGCCAGGTGCGCCAGGTGCGACAAGTGCGCCAGGTGCGCCATGTGCGCCAGGTGCGACAGGTGCGCCAGGTGCGCCACGTGCGCCAGGTGCGACAGGCGCTCCAGGTCTGCGCCCGGTGCGCCAGGTGCGCCAGGTGCGCCCAGCGCGCCAAGTGCGCCAGGTGCGCCAGATGCACCAGGTGTGCCAGGTGTGCGCCAGGTGCGCGCCAGGTGCGCCAGGTGCGCCAGTTGCACCAGGCGCGCCAGGCGCGCCAGGTGAGCCAGGTACGCCAGGTGCGGCAGGTGCGCCCAGCGCGCCCAGCGCGCCAGGTGCGCCAGGTGCGCGCCAGGCGCGCGCCAGGTGCGCCAGGTGCGCCAAGTGCGACAAGTGCGCCAGGTGCGTCAGGTGCGCCAGGTGCGCGCCAGTTGCGCCCAGCGAGTCAGGTGCGCTAGGTGCGCCCAGCGCGCCAGGTGCGCGCCAGGTGCGCCAAGGGGACAGGGAGGCCTCAAAATGATCTGCGTATGACGTACCTCCGCAGGGCCTCCCAGGAACCCACGAAAGTGGCGACAGTTGCGCAGATCGCAGCCCCGCAGGGGACAGGGAGGCCTCAAAGTGATCTGCGTATGACGTACCTCCGCTGGGCCTCCCAGGAACCCACGAAAGTGGCGACAGTTGCGCAGATCGCAGCCCCGCAGGGGACAGGGAGGCCTCACAGTGATCTGCGTATGACGTACCTCCGCTGGGCCTCCCAGGAACCCACGAAGTGGCGACAGTTGCGCAGATCGCAGCCCCGCAGGGGACAGGGAGGCCTCAAAGTGATCTGCGTATGACGTACCTCCGCTGGGCCTCCCAGGAACCCACGAAAGTGGCGACAGTTGCGCAGATCGCAGCCCCGCAGGGGACAGGGAGGCCTCAAAGTGATCTGCGTATGACGTACCTCCGCTGGGCCTCCCAGGAACCCACGAAACGTGGCGACAGTTGCGCAGATCGCAGCCCCGCAGGGGACAGGGAGGCCTCAAAGTGATCTGCGTATGACGTACCTCCGCTGGGCCTCCCAGGAACCCACGAAAGTTGCGACAGTTGCGCAGATCGCAGCCCCGCAGGGGACAGGGAGGCCTCAAAGTGATCTGCGTATGACGTACCCCCGCTGGGCCTCCCAGGAACCCACCAAAGTGGCGACAGTTGCGCAGATCGCAGCCCCGCAGGGGACAGGGAGGCCTCAAAACGATCTGCGTATGACGTACCTCCGCTGGGCCTCCCATGAACCCACGAAAGTGGCGACAATTGCGCAGATCGCAGCCCCGCAGGGGACAGCCAGGAGCCCACGAAAGTGGCGACAATTGCGCAGATTGCAGCCCCGCAGGGCACCGCGACCACAAGAGAGAAGGAGGAGCGGGCGGGAAGTGGATACCACAGTTCTCTTTTCAAAACGAGTACCCAACCATAGGAGGGTTGGGAAAAATAAGCAGCAACGAGTGTCATCTAGAAGCGTCAAGCAGTAGCACTCGGCAACGATGACCTGAGAACAACGGGGAGGAGGGGGAGAGCGAAGGATCGGAAGATGAGAGAGAGAGAGAGAGAGAAAGAGAGAGAGAGAGAGAGAGAGAGAGAGCGATGCACGGAGGCATCGGAGTGGGGCAAGAAAGGGAAGGGATGGGTGGGATGGGGAGGGTCGGGGAGGAAAGGGGGGACGGGGGGACCCCCGTTCTCGTCAGAACACGAACGGGAGAAGCACATCGGTGGATGCGGCGTCGGCCTGTCCCGATAAGTCGTGCCAATCCATTTCGCGACATGCCATAGCCTCTCAAGCCAAGGGTGCGGGTTCCACCGGCTGTTCGCAGGCTGGCTCACCTCCCTGCGGCTTCCCCACTCGGAAGTCAAAGAAACACATCGACTGCAACTCGCAATGAAAGGAAAGCTCCCGTGCCGCCCACTGGTAGACGCGTCTCGACCCCCCACCAGGCCCCAAACCAAAACAAGTACAGGCTCGACAGTGCTCAACACGATGATTCAAACTTTGAAGAAGCAGCCAGGCAAGCAAGGTGGGCATGCGGGAGAAGGGTCTTGAGAGAAACTGGTCATGGATGGTAACGAAGCACCCTGCTGATCTAGACTTGTAATAGAAGGCGCCAATTAGAGAGGGCATGTGATACAAGAGCCTGAGATCACACCAAATTGACGCACAAGTAGGGTTCTTGCGCGGCAAGTCATATGCCGCACCACACACAGTAGAGTGTTGCAACCTTCACAAGCGCCTGGCGCAGATCACACACCCAATGATTGGTCATATGTTATGTGGCTCGAGTAGCTGTTCGCCCAACCATGGGGGCCCGCTGTTGTCACACGAAAATCGCATATATCTACACGTGCCGATCTTTGCACATCCGTGCTTAGTGGCGCGCGCGAGATAGCGACCCAGAACGTTCGCAACACGCTGGGCTCCTGCAACACGGGGGGGGGGGGGGCGCTAGATGCGCGCGCTGTTTGCGCACCCGTTGCGGCAAGCGGCCCTCAAACAACAGCTCGCGACCCAACGCTGTCAGATCACATAGGTGGTTTTCGCGTGCAAAGTGGCGCGGTGCTGTCCATTCCTGCCCCCACGCTTGTAATGTGTGCGTTCACTCATTCAACATGCGGAATGTCGAAGCCGATGGAACCGACAAAGGAAACAATGTGTGGGGCGTATGTTTCTTGTGGAGGGACAATGCCAGTAGCAAAGGAAGAACGAGGAGGGGCGGGAGAAGGAGGGAAGGAACATGAGGATATGGCGGAGCAGGGTGGGGGGTGACAAGTGACACAAAAACGACGGGGGAATCGTAGGGCCCTTGGCTTTTCGATTCCGCCACTGTCCTCCCTCGCTCTTTCGTGTTATCACCCTATGCCGTTTCATCTTTGAAGGGGCCCTGGGACACACAAATAAATAGACACAAATAAAAGGACTCTCCATATTTTCCTGTATTTTCTGGCTTTTGTCTTCCCCCACTTCCCATATTTTCCAATATTTTCCTTGGAGTGGACGATTACTCTTGTCTGCGTGGGTTTTCTCCTCCTGAATCTCAGCAGCGGGCTCCATGGGGCGAGGCTCCGCGTGCGCCCCCGAGGGGCCAGCGGGGCTGGGCGGCGCCCCTTGCCGACGATGGAGCCGCCGCCGCGCCCTCCTGGGGCAGAGCTGCCTCCGCGGAGAAGCCGCTCAGCCAGGACTCCCAACTTCGCGCTTCGCGCTGCGCGAAGCGCGAAGTGCGAATAACTTCGCGCTCTCGCGCCGCCTCCCAGGGGAGAAGAGGAGGATGAGGAGGAAACGGAGCCGAACCGCGAAGCGCGAATAACTTCGCGCCCTCGAGGGCGCCCTTGCTCAACCCTGCTCTGGACGACGGCAGCTCGGCAATCTTGGCCGCCCGCGCCGGCCGCAAGCGCCCCCGCGCTGCCCCCTCGGTGCGGCCGTGGTCGCCCGCTGTCGTTGGCAAGTGCGCTGGCGAGGGCGCAAGGCAGCCCGGCGGCACCGGAGCCCGAGGTCCAGGTGCGAGATCGTGTCGTCGCGTCGCCTCGACAGGTGCATTGTGCCCTCGCAGCATGAGCAGTGTGTACCCGTCTCTGCTATCGGCATGTGTCTCGGCCGCCCCTTCTTTTCTCATGTGGTAAATTGTGCGTTCAACGGTTCTTTTCCAGGGTCGGACTGGAAACGGGTTGTGTTCAGCAAAGGTAAGCACAGGGTGGCAGATCAAGAAGGGTCTACTTTGTCCTTGCGCCGGCTGGACAAAGAGCTGGGATCCGCACGGCGGGTCATCCAGCCAATGTTTCATAAGCTTGCGGGGGGGCCCATTCAGATGCAAGCAATTCTTAGATCGACGATTTAAGCGAATCTTGTGTCTTGAATGGAGAAACATAAATCCGTTTTACATGTGGATTCGGTACGGTACAATGAAATACCTCTCGAATTGAATTTGAAATGTAATTCGGTGCCCAGAACGTTAGGTATGAGGAACAACGATGGTATTCACACAACTCCTTATGACACGGCTGTACAAACAATACGGCATCTCTTGAAATTTGAGTCGAACTCAATAATGATCATACAACTCCTTCAGATTAAGCAGTCATGCTGCCTATTGGTCGGCGAAAATATGCTCTCTTGTGAATGCATAGAGCCTGCCTGCTGCAACCATTAGAATCCACGTCAACCGATTCATTGAAGCATGCGTTGTCGTGAAATTGCACAGTGTGTACTGCGAGTTCGAACTCCATGCAAACGGCCAGGTTGGTCTGCTTCGATCAGGCATACACAAACCTCCTGGTCGAACAGAACATCGAAGCTGATCGCGCTGGAAGCTGGGCGTCAGTTTCCTTTCCGTGCGAAGTACACACAACATCAGACATGCATTCGAAGGGCCTTCGTCGAAAAACTGAGGTCCACATGTGTCGTCGTTGATAAACGGTTCGATGTCCCTGCAACTCAGCGCGAATACCAATAATAGCCGGAGATGACTGAGGAGTGTGATCAGGAGGAGACTCACACCCAACTATGGTGGAATACCGGGGGGAGGCACTCCAATACAAACACCAAAAAACACGTGTTCTTCAACACTGGGCCCAATTTCGATGTCAAATAGGGTTCAGCTGCATGTTTGCCAATCCGGAACTAGAGGAATACAGCGGGTCTAAAGTATTTGGAACAAGAGGGCCTTGACCACGACGCTGATGCCGACGTGATTGCAACGATCATTGAACGGAGTCTATTTCATGTTCTGGTCTCCTCTGAGCCGAAAGTGCGGCCGCGACGTTGTTGAAAAGGTTGCGGGCTTGCGGCTGAAGTTTGGGGGAAACTCGAGGCGATTCGCGGATTGGCGAGTGTAACGCACCCTGCATGTATGAAAATCATTGTTCGCGGTGGGCACTCCGACCGAAAAATAAGGGGGCCGAGCGACTCACCTCCTCCCCCCTCCCTCTAAATCGCGCGTTCCCCTCCTCCGTTCCCCCCCGGGACGGGCGGGTGGCGGGCCGATGGTCGCGGGTGTGTCGCGAGGCGGGCGGGTCGCGAGTGTGTCGCGGGCGTCGCGCCCGCCCGCCCGCCCGCGCCCTCACTCTTAACTGCAATTGCGGGGTGCTACGTATCACGTTGCTTGGCAGTGTTACTTCCTGTTCGCCGACACGCGCGCGCGCATGTGCGCGTTGCGAACGTGAACTGCGTCGGGCCAAGCTGTGCGGCGGGCAGAAAAACTGAAGGACGCACGCACTGCAAGAGAAGGAAGGAGGAGCAGGAGTTGTAAAGGGAGGGGGCTGGACCAATTTTGGGCCCGCGGGCAGGCCCACAATGGACGAATAAGAAACGGGTGGCGAGAAAAAGCGAACAACCCCGGAACGTGGAATGCATTCGGCCGCGAAGCGGGTGCGCCCGTGAGGAAAATAATGATGATGAGAATGATGGTGATGATGTGGGTCCAAAAACCAAATTGATTCCAAACCGGACCCCGTGCACGATGCAGAAGGTGAGGGGAGGCGGCACATCTTAAGTGCGGCGAACAAACAAGAGTTCAGCCGAAAACACGCCGCCCGCCCGCACCTTGGCGGGCGAAAAGAGACCTAGGGGGGGAAAGCCAACCATTGCCCGAGCTAGATGGCCAAAGCAAAGCGCGCGAGAAGGCAGAGACAGGAGGGAAAACCGGCGTGCGTCGAAACGGAAACCATCCTCTAAAGCAGGGCACTAGCAAAATTAGATTCCCCACCGGGCCCCGCGCACGGCGCAGAAGGCGAGGGGGTGGGGCGCATTTGTACCGCGGGGAAAAGCAGTGGCTCAGCCGAAGGCGCGCCGCCCACGCCGCCGCCCTACCCGCCGCGCCAGGCCCCTGCCCCCACCGACTGCGGCGAAAAAAATTGCAGGGACTTGGCCCAGAAAGCTAAACCCTTCAAAGCGCGGCGCCGACCACCGGCGCGGGAAACGCGAGGGGGGTACCTCGGGCGCGGGCGAGGGGGCGCCTCCACTTGCGGCGCGCGGACCGCCGGGGGCGCTATCTAAGAAAACCAGCGGGCGCCGGGAACAGGGCCCCGAAACGGAGCCGGACGCCCAAAAGGCAAGGGAGGTCCCTCCCGAGTGGTCCCGCAGTGCGACGGGGAGCACGCTCCCACTCCCTCTTTCCTCAAGCCGCCTTTTGCTGAGCGCCTGGGTTACCTTTCCCCCTTCCCGCAAAGGATCCCAGAATTCGCTCGATCGGGGGGTGCCCCTCGGGGGGCTCTTGGAAGAACCCGACTCCCTGGGTTCTTCCCCGTCTCCCCCCCCACCCCTTTTGTCGGTCTGTGCCCCGCAGGGTGAGCTGGTAGTTTTGGGCCGACATGGCCTCTGCCAAGCCCTGCTGGGGCTCGCGCGCCTCCCGGAGGCGCGCGTGGGAGGCGCTAGACTTCCAGCGCTCGAAGCGCTTCAGCCGCCCGAGGTCTGGCACCGCAAGGCGCGTCGCGGTGGCCCCCCCGATCCGAAGGGAGCGGCTCCCGATGCGCGACGGGTGGACCCCATCCGCCTCGGCTGCCTGGTCCAGCAAGACCTTCGCGTTCTGCCGCCGGACGGGCCCCCACCCCTCGCGCCGGAGCAGGGGCGCATCTGATTTCGACGTCCAACGCTGGGGGACCAAGCGCTCCAACTCCGCTTGGGCGCGGACCGGGCACGGGTCGTTGCCGGTGACGCAGCGGCTCCGGCAGCAGCCGAAGTTGCACTGGCCCGGTTTCCTGCCCGCGGTCTCGCGGGGCCCGCCAGGTGCTCGAGGCGCGCAGAATGGGGAAACAGGCGACCGCCAGGGCCGCCCACATG